GTAGCACAAATGTAATTAGAAACTGTACATCAATTGTTCTGTAAAAAGGCGTTTATCATGACTAATAAAGTTTCTACGTTGGCAATATAAAAAAAAAAAAAAAAAAAAATATTGTACTATAGTACTATAATATATAGTTAAATTCTTAATATAGTATGGTAGTAGTTGGTTTAAAATTAATAAATAAATAATGAATACAATTAAAGAATAAAAAAATAAATTTAAACGAAGTGAAAATAAAAAAGCTTAACGATTAATGATTATCCTTTAGAAATTTCTAGAATCAATTGATCGATGATTTATTTCCATAAAAGGTGCGATCGGCACTATCAATTTATGGTATATTCCCGGACTGATATAAAAGCCAGAACTTAGACCCTACTTACTGACAGTTATTCACACAACTAATTAATTGCTAACTAACCGATCAAATATTATTATAGTGAAGGATCGATGAAATCTATATAAATTTCTGTGTAACAATCGCGAAAATCTATAGACGTTGATCTATCTTATCAAAAATAATATAATAGTGATTAATTTATTTATTTGAACATTCTTAGGTTTTTTCAATGCCGTTGGATTGGCCATGGCTTAGGTTCATTGTGCTGCCACCTTTAATAAACTACGCTGACTTATTCACAAATCATACTTATGTGATTTGTGGTGACAGTTGCCTTTAAGAAGGAGGCGGCATCACTTGTTGGATATTTATTTATTATATAATTATCACTTTGATTTAATTTTGTTATTTACCGTAAAGTGCCAACCGATGTATCCGCTGTATACTTCTCGTTCAACTTTACCAGTCTTCAATGTTTTACACCAGGTAGATATTCTTCAAAGCGTAAAGATGCTATTATTCGATATATAATATGAATGGCTTCCGGATATAAATAAAATTCTTATTCGCAGAATACCCCCGGGTACAACTCATAGGGGGATCTATCGTATGGCACTTTACGATAGCCATCTTCAGCTCGGTAATTTAATTGTCCTTTATGATGACAATTATGTGACCATTGATGGTAACATTCATTTATCTGTTATCATTCAATTTTTATTCTCAATCAATTACTAACTAAATATTACAATTAATATCGATAGGGTCACACTCAGTGAATAAAATTCGATGTGCGCATGTGCGCTCCGCACACAGAAAATTTTTTTGCGCACAAAAAAAATATAATGCTGTGCGCAAAGCACGCGCAATTTTTTTAATAATTATTTAAAATAATGTGCCCATACTGTTAGACTTGTTCTACTATATCGAACTTTGCGCACATTGAATCTAAAATTTGGTGCGCTTTGCGCACCAAATTTTGACTTTGAATTTTATTCCCTGGTCACACTAACCTGAGCTTTTACTGAAGATTTTTTAAAACGTTTTGAGGCTTATGGTTGGCATACACAATATTTACCTAATGGTGATGATGATTTAGATGGTATTGCTGAAGCTATTGAACGAGCAAGAAAGTAACTGACAAACCATCTATCATCAAAATTAAGACCACAATCGGTATTGGATCTAAAAACCAAGGCACTGAAAAGGTTCATGGTAGTGCCTTGCCACATGATGATATTGTAGAAATCAAAAAAAAATTAGGCTTCAATCCAGAAAATTTTTTCCATGTACCAGATGAGGTTAGTCCTATTAAATAATTTTTTTTTAAAAAAATTTTGTTTAAGAGAAGCTTTAATACTTTTAATTTTTTAGGTTTATGAATATGGTAAACGTTTTCGTGAAAGGGGTGCTAAAGCAGAAGCAGAGTGGAATCAACTTTTGGAAAAG